AATTTTAGAGTTTTAGAATTTTAGAATTTTAGAATTTTAGAATTTTTAGCATTTTAGAATTTTAGAATTTTAGAATTTTTAAAATTTTAGAATTTTATACATTTTAGAATTTTAGAGTTTTAGAATTTTAGAATTTTAGAATTTTTAGAATTTTTAGCATTTTCAGAATTTTAGAATTCTTAAAATTTTAAAATTTTCGAATTTTTAGAATTTTAGAATTTTCAGAATTTTAGAATTTTAGAATTTTAGAATTTTAAAATTTTAGAATTTTAGAGTTTTAGAATTTTAGAATTTTAGAATTTTAGAATTTTCTGGAATTTTAGAATTTTAGAATTTTTAAAATTTTAAAATTTTAGAATTTTTAGAATTTTAGAATTTTAGAATTTTTAGAATTTTAAAATTTTAAAATTTTATAATTTTAGAATTTTAGAATTTTAGAATTTTAAAATTTTAGAATTTTTAAAATTTTAGAATTTTTAGAATTTTAGAATTTTAGAATTTTTAGAATTTTAAAATTTTAAAATTTTATAATTTTAGAATTTTAGAATTTTAGAATTTTAAAATTTTAGAATTTTTAGAATTTTCAGAATTTTTAAAATTTTAAAATTTTAGAATTTTTAGAATTTTAGAATTTTAGAATTTTTAGAATTTTCAGAATTTTAGAATTTTAGAATTTTAGAATTTTAGAATTTTAGAATTTTAGAATTTTTAAAATTTTAGAATTTTAGAATTTTATAATTTTTAGAATTTTTAGAATTTTCAGAATTTTAGAATTTTTAAAATTTTAAAATTTTAGAAATTTAGAAATTTAGAATTTTTAGAATTTTTAGAATTTTAGAATTTTAGAATTTTAGAATTTTAGAATTTTAGAATTTTAGAATTTTTAAAATTTTAGAATTTTAGAATTTTATAATTTTAGAATTTTAGAGTTTTAGAGCGAAAAATGGAATTTCTGATATTTTTGGAATTTTTAGGAATTTCAAAAATTCGCTGAAAATTCGATTTTTCAGCTTTTCAGACGATTTTTAGCTCTAAAAATCCAAATTTTCAGTCATTTTAACCCCAAAAACTAATTAAAAATCGATTTTTGCTCTCCAGAATCCACTACCCTTCCGACGTCATCATCTGGAACGTTCTCTCCACCACCACTGGATCCTCCATTCGAATCCACGTCATCATCAGCAACAACGTCTTCAAAACTCTCGATTCTACCAGATATCGATGGAATACACCGGAAAAATCAGAGAAAACGAGTCACTTTTGACTTGAATCCGAATTCTTCGTCTATTTTGACGTCTTCTGGATCTTCTAGACATCAGAATCTGATGACGTCGTCGTTCAGTCATCAGAATCCGTCTTCTGAATCCTTAGAGCACGCTCTAACGGAGGCGGCATCTGAAAACGCTTTGCTACGTCTTCAAGTATCGGACTTGAATTCGGCGGTGGAGAAGATGAAGCAAGACTACGAGCTGGAGATTCTGAAATACACGAAAGAGGCAAAAACGGCGGGTCTTAAAGCAAAAGTGGCGGCGACGGCGAGGATTAAGGAGTTGGAGAGCTCCCTGGAGGAGATTAACGCGAAATTTGAGGATCAGGTTGGGATTTTGAGTCGAAAAACGGCTTTTGCTAGAGTTTCCTAGGCTGAAAACTGAGAAAATTCTAAAAATTTCAAAATCCACCGATTCTGATAAAAATTGATATGACGACCTGAAATGGCTTGAAAAACGATATTCTGTAAGAAAAATTCGAAACTTTGAAAAATTGAAAAAAAAACTTTTTTTGGAAATTTTGAGTTTTTTTCCAAAAATTTCAAAGTTGATCATTTCTGATAAAAATTGATATAACGACCTGAATTGGCTTGGAAAGCAATATTCTGCAAAAAAAAAATTCAAAAATTCGAAATTTGAAAAATTTTTTTTTTGAAAATTTTGATTTTTTTCGAAAAATTTCAAAATCTACCAATTTTGATAAAAAATGATTTGACGACCCGAAATGGCATGAAAAGCCATATTCTGCAAGAAAAATTCGAAATTTTGGAAAATTGAAAAAATAATTTTTTCGAAAAATTGAAAATTTCCAAAAATTTCAAAGTTGATCATTTCTGATGAAAATTGATATGACGACCTAAAATGGCTTGTAAAGTAATATTCGTTAAGAAAAATTCTAAAATTTGGGCAATTGAAAAAAAATTTTTGACCAAAATTTCAAAAAAATTTTATTTTTCAATTTTTCAAAATTTTGAGTTTTTCTTTAAAAAATAATGTTTTCAAGCTGTTTTAGCCTGTCATATCAATTTTTATCAGAATTGATGAATTTTGAATTTTTGGAAAAATTTTGAATCCAAATTAAAAAAAATGCTGAAACCCCCATTTCCAGACGGAACGTCTCCAAGAAGAGGTCGACACTCTCCGCTCGTCCCGAAACTGGGAAATTGAGCAAAACGGACATTTAAAAGACCAAGTGGCTCATTTAAAGGAGAAAACGTTCAAATTGACCGAAGAGCTGGATGCCAGCGAGAAAGCCAAGCGATCGCTAGACTCGGAAGTCGATGAGTCGAATAAGTTGATGGAATTGATGGTCGATGACTTGTTGCAGGTAGAAATTGATTTTCGGAAGGAAAATCGGTCAAAATGAGCCAAAAATCATGATTTTCGGCCTAAAATGAGCAATTTTTAGCCCCGAAAAATGGCGTTTTCGAGCATTTACAGCACAAAAACGGCGATTTTCGAGCTGAAAATGATGAAGAGTTCGTGAAAATGGCCCTAGAAGTGTGCCAAAAACCACTTAAATTGGCTGAAAATGGTCCAAAATCGACTAAACTAGGCGGAAAATGACCTGAAATTGGTCTAAAATGGCTTAGAAACGTTCCGAAAATGACTAAAATTGGCAGAAAATGACATTTTTCAGTCAATTTGAACCAATTTAAAGTCATTTTCAGCCTAAAAATCGCACTTTGGAGCCATTTAAAGCCATTTTCAGCTAATTTTCAACTGAAAATGTGCCAAAAAATCGATTTTTTGCAGGCCGAAAACGCGATCAACTACCATGTGACTCAAAAAACGGCGATATTCGAGGATATAGATCGTTTGAAAGAGGCGATCGTCGCTCAGGATCGATTTATCGAGATTCTGGAGGCGGATATTGTCATCTACGAGCAACATATCGGTCTGTTGCGAGAAAATTTGGGAGCGTCGCAGGTGAGACGTTTTTTAGGCTTAAAATTGACTGAAAATGGCCGAAAATAGCTGAAAAAAGGCCTAAAAACGGTCTAAATCAGTCTAAAATGATCTAAAATTGGTCTAAAATGACCTCAAATATGCCTAAAATGACCTGAAACCGACATAAAATGAGTTACAATGGCCTAAAATGACCTACAGTAGTCCAAAAATGACCTAAAATGACATAAAATGGGCCTAAAATAACCGAAAACAGGCCTAAAGTGGCCGAAAATAGGCTTAAAATGACCCAAAATCGTCCTAAAATGATCTGAAATGGCCGAAAATAGGGCTAAAATGACCTGAAACAGACTTGAAGTATCTAAAATAGGTCTAAAATTAGCTAAAATAGACATGAGATGACCTGAAATAGGCCTAAATTATGCCTAAAAATACCTTACCTAGGCCTACAGCCGATCTAAAATGACCTTAAATAGTCCTAAAATGACCTGAAATAGCCTGAAATAGGTCTAAAATTACCTAAAATAGGCTTAAAATGACCTGAAATAGGCTTAAAATGACGTAAAACGACCTGAAATAAGCCTAAAATAAGCCTAAAATGACCTAAATTAGGCCTAAAATGAGCGAAAACCGACCTAAAATAGCCTAAAACGGCCTAAAATTTGCTTTCCAAGAAAAAGTGCTCGGATGGCCGAGTGGGATTTTCGACGAGCAAATTTGGATCTAGAGGTCCGGGGTTCGAACCCCACCGGTGGCAATTTCCTTTTTGAATTTTTTTTCGGGATTTCCAAGGGCGGGAAATTCAAAAATCGTAATTTTCAACCATATTTTTGCTCATTTTCAGCCGAATTTGGCCTAAAATTGGCCCAAAACCGGCCTAGAAAGCCTAAAAATCACTGAAAATTTGAATTTTCAGATCGATCATCGTGCCCTAATCAAATCCAAAGCGTTCGAGACGAAATTGTTGGCACTGGAACGCGAAAAAGAACAAAGTGCAAAGAAATCGAATGGTGAGCGAGTGGGCGGAGCCTAAAAGTGGGCGGAGCCTAACGAGAAATCGGAGAAAAATGACAAATTTTATCATCAAAAAGTATACAAAAAAGCGACACCAAAAGCAATTAATAAAAGGCACCCTTAATTAGTCGTAATTATGGAATAATTGGAGCCGTCGAAAGTGTCGTTGATTGCTCAGAGCCGGTGCTGGATACTGTAGACAGCGCTGGGTTACGGTAGGCGGCGGCGAAATCTGGCGGTAGACCGGTTTTTGTGGCTTCGTAGAGGCGATAATTGTAGCCATGATTCATACTGCCACGTGGCATGATTTGGCGAGTTTCCGTGCGTTTTACAACCTGAAAATCGGGAATAATTTAGACTAAAACTGGCTGAAAATAGGCTTAAAATGGTCTAAAATGACATAAAATAGGGTTGAAATAGTCTAAAATAGTCTAAAATCGACTTTTGCAAAAAGTGCTCGGATGGCCGAGTGGGATTTTCGACGAAAGAATTTGAATCTAGGGGTTGTTGGTTCGACACCCACCGGTGGCAATTCGTTTTTTAAAAATTTTTAGAGGTTTTCAAAAGCGGGAAATCCAAAAATCGGCACCAAAAAGTGCGGAAACTTGGTTTTAGACCATTTTCAGACGATATTTAGCTCTAAAAAAGCTTGAAATGAGCTTAGAATAGGCTCAGAATTGCCTAAAATGGCTTAAAATGGCCTAAAATCGATTTTTCCAAAAAAAAGTGCTCGGCTGGCCTAGTGGGATTTTCGACGGGCAAATTTGGATCTAGGGGTTGTTGGTTCGATTCCCACCGGTGGCAATTTGTTTTTTAAAATTGTTTTTGGGGGTTTTCAAGGGCGGGAAATTCGAAAATTGAGATGAAAAAGTCTGGAAAATTGATTTAGGCGATTTTCAGCCGAATTTTTGGCTATTTTCAGCGGAATTTCAGCCAAAAATCGCAAAAAAAAGACTCACATCACACTGACAGTGTGTACAGTAGTAGGTTTTGCGGCGCAAACAACAATAGAAACCGCACGGAAAACAGAAGATGGCCCATAGGATCGCACGCCAACTGAAACGGCTCTTCACACGTTTCTCGTGACACGCCGGGCAGGTTGTGGTCGATGACGTCGTTGACATTTTCTGGAGATTTACATCTGAAAAAGGCTGAAATTTGGGATTTTTCAGGGAAAAAAGCTGAAAAATCGGGGTCAAAATGAGCTACTAAAAATCAGGGAAATCGCTGAAAATTAAGATTTTGGAACTGAAAATGGCTTTAAAACAGGCTGAAAACGGCCAAAATTTGAGCTACTTTTGAGATTAAACGGCTTGAAAATGGCTGAAAATGGCTGAAAACACCCGAATTCCAGCGATTTTCAGCCAAAAATGAGCTTTTTGATGACATGTTGATCTCAAAAAATGTGTCTAAAAGCTCAAAAACCACATTTTTTCATCAATAACAACAATAATAGGGGAAATGAACTATGATATGTATGAATAATCAACAAAAATGGAGAAAATATGGGATTTTCAGCGTTTTTAAGCCTAAAAATGCCCTATTTTCGGCCCCAAAGGGGTTGGAGTCCATGAAAACAGAGCAGCTACAGTAATCCCGCACCTTTATTACTATAGAAAACGAGAAAATTGGCTCAAATTTGATAGGGTGCCCTTCTATTAGAGGTGCCCCGATTTGTGGGTCCAAAATTGAGGGTTATGGAGCCTTACCGTAACCCTTCGCCTTTGAGATTGTCTCAGTTTTGTTAGAAAAGGCTTCGAGATTGATTGCTTTTGCCATTTTAAAGCCCAAAAATGCTGAATATTTGGCTGGGTGCCCTTCTATTAGAGGTTGGTAAAACTCACTTGCCACCACGTGGAAATTGATGCGATTTCCTGTGTGTCACTGGCTGCCGCTGAAGTGTTTAGCGTTGATTTGTGTATCACACTGTCTCTCTCTCTCTCTTTCTCTCTGCGTCTCTTTCTCTCTCTCTCTCTCTCTCTCTCTCTCTTTCGATCTGTATGTTTTGTTGTCTGTATTTTTCTCTTGTAATTGAGAAAATGTTCGAAAAGGACAGAGATAGAAAGAGAGAGAGAGAGAGAGAGAGAGAGAGAGAGAGAGAGAGAGAGAGAGACGCAGAGAAACAGAGAAACACACGGGTGTATATATGACTTGTGTTGTTGGGGTTGAACAGTTTCAAATTAGACAAA